CTACCGCTATGCTGCACTACTGGCGCAGTGTGTAGAAAGTTTTCGAATGCCTCGTAGTCGTCGTCGTCGTCGTCGTCGGTACGTGACTCGGTGGTGGGCGACTGGGCGCACCGTATATACAGATGCATAATACTTGGCAATGACTGACCCATGAGCCAGTGCAGTGGCTCGCTTTGCAATTACATCGCTTTTCCATTTGGATCGTGTTTGAAGAGAGCATCGAAAGAGAGAGGGAGGCCTCTACTAATGCTCGAAGCGCATCGTGGCCTATTTCATTTCGCCTTATATTATCATCGGCCGTATAAATTGCGTGATCGTCATCGTCGTTGTGCACTTGAAAACGTTGAGGTAATATTAGCCGATGGCTTTTGGAATGTTTTCATCGTATTACTGACGATTGCGTATACAGATTTCGATATGCTCCAGGATATTAGTTATAGCCTTGGTAAGGATTATTCAAATCCGCACAAGCGCGATGACGTTGTATTGTACGATCGTTACAGCTACAAATTTAGCATCAGCAGCAAATCCTGCTTGACGTTACTTCGCTATAATAGATAAAGCAATTTTCGCGAGAGATGAAAAGCTCCTCTTCTCTCTCAGCTAGCCGCGCAATATCGGGTCAATGCGAAGGATAATGATAAAATCGAACGCTGCGAGACTCTCTCTCTCTCTGTACACACAAAACTCTTGACTACATAATCGCGCTCACACAGAGAAAAAATTCGCGCGGCGGTGATTTACGACGTGTTATATTGCTCGACAGCTGCAAGCGCATCCCCGAGCGCGAAATAGCTATTATATATAGAAAAAAAAAGGCTAAGTGCACATCGTCGAGCGGAGAGAGCCTCGCGAGAAGGATAATACGTATACGTGAGGGCCTCGCCGCGATAAGTGCACACTATGCTGCAGAGCTGTGGTGGTGGCCTTGCACGGGATGCACCCACCTATACGTAGTTGTGGTAACTATCTCTATCCACGTGTATGTGTGTGTGTGTTTATAGAGACGTGGGTGGGTGGGCTGCACATAGCTCAGAGCAGCCGCAGCTCGCAACGAGGGTAAAGTCGAATTTGCCCTTGTCCTTGCAGCTCTATTCGGTCTAGTCTCGCTGTCGCTGCTGCTGCTGCTGCGGCTGCGGCTGGGGGGATATACGTCTGTGTTATACGTGTGCTGCTAGAGCTAAGCTCTATTAAGTGCTCCGCGCGTGGATAAGTGGGTGGCTCGATTCCGTGTACTATATCGTGTATATACGTACTGTAAAACTCGGGCAGTCGGGTTGGCTCTGCACACGGCCAGTGCAGCCCGAAGGATGAGGTATATACGATACGATACGTATGTACACGAGACTTGCGCGCGATTGTTATGCTTGACGGCTAGGCGATACCTATACAACGCGATGAATTTCAAGGAAAGCGACGAAGAAAAAGAAAAAGTTTTGTTTTTATCGTTGTTGTTGCTGCTCTTGTTTCATTTATAGCCGTATAGAGAGAGATCGAAAAAGGGAATTTATTTATATCCTCGTCGTATCGGCTAAATAATACGTGTATAGATTTGTAAAAAGCTCTGCGAGGGGGAAGCTGTTGCTACAAACCCTCTGATCTCTCTCTCTCAGGGCGGTACGGCACGACATATTGCGCTCGGTGGTAGTGATCGAATTTAGAAAAGGATCGATGCCTCAAAGGAAGGCAGCGTATTGGTATATACACCCTCGCACACAGCTGTGTCTGTAAAAAATGCCCCGGGACAGTCAGCCAGCTCGAGTTAGCCAGACTGAAAATTACTCAAAAGCTCTCTCTCAGCCCTCTCGTAAGCTCGGGCTTTTCACGAAGTCTGCGCATGGTCGCGCAACCCCCGGTGTGTCACCCGTTTCTGCGGACTTTGCAACTCTCTCTGCCTCGTGCTCGATCGAGTGCGATCCCTCCGGATCTGCAGCGTTTATTATCCGGGCGCAATATCGCAACGAGATGTATATGCCGTGTATGCACCCCTTTTTGCGTGCGTTGTATATATTCGTGAATCTCTTGGGACTTTATATAATAATAAATACGTAAAAAAAGATAAATTAAAGTACAGGATAATTACTCGCAGCTATAGCTCGGTTCGTGCGCTGCTCTCGGAATATTTGGCAGAACACATTCGATCTGCGAGCTATATAACAATGTGTGCCGAGCTTTCGCAATTTGTAACACGACAAATCAGCGCGACGACGCGCGTTCGCGTGCACGCACACGCTCGAAGCTCATTACATTATACCGCGGCTCTCGCTCGACATGATCTACGACCGTTTATTAAAATACAAAAAAAAAAAAAACAAGGAGAAAATACTCGAGCATTGTCGTACACACACACATGCGGCTCGTAGATTTTCGCTCTCTATACGAGCGACTGGCCGGGGCTCTAAAATCAGGCCACGTATAATACACGACACACGAGCTGCGAACGAGCTATACGTTACACGCCTTACGTGCACCTGCATAGCTCGTATGCTAATGCATTATATGTATATCTTATGTGTCGAGCATATATACGCGTGTACAGGTATGCGCAGCGCGAGACGACTGGATAATGGCAATGAGTGTACCCCGCAGCAGATCTAAGTTTTCTTTTATTTTTCTTCTTCTTCGATGTTGAGCTCGCCATTATTATCCGATGTGTATCGGCTGGCGAGACTCGCGCGAAGCTATTATATCGCGACTGGATACATAAGAGCGTCCGTGTATTCGCTCGATAATTAATATTAACAATTTATTTCCAATTTTCCTATATATTGTTTAAATATTGGTATTAAATTTAGATCTCATGTAAAAGAAATTAATTCAAATTTGGAATAGGGTTTAAGTACATCGTATATTCGCAGGTATAAATCCCTCCACGACGATCGGTTGTATAAATAAGCCGCGGCGCTCGATTGCACATATAAACGATGATCGTCGATCGCGAGTCTATAAATTTCAGCACGTCGATCGACTCGATTACATTCGCGCTCGGAGCTTATAATACGTGTCGACGATTAGACGACGCGTATGTCTCACGATGTGTATTGTACGAGCCACGCCTTTCGCACGCCGTACGGCGCGTAAAATCAAAATTCTCCCTCCCTCTCTCTATCTCTCTCTCTCTATGCTGTGCACCACTGTACACGCTCTGCTTATAGGTATATATATCGAGCTCGCGCGATTATATTATGTGCCGTGCCGCGAGCATTTGCGTCTGCGCGATGCATCATCATCGCGCGATCGACGCTGCACGATGATGTATGCATGCCACGCGTTATCCTTCGCAGCCCGAGTAGAGGATCCCTCGCCTCTGTTATACATATTTTTATTCTTCTTCTTCTCTTTTTCATTTCGAAGCGCGTGACTAATACCTCGTCTATGCGCTAAAACGGGTGTACGATACGCGCGCGCCTTCCACCGATATTAGCATGGACATGCCCATGTTTTCCGAGGCCGGGAGCGGGATCGTTTAATTATGAACTTGACGTAATAAAATTCATGGTACTTCTTGACGCAGCTTACTCATTTTTCAAAGTATTTTTTCGATGAGTGTGATAACTACACTTGTGACCCCTTTGACAAGTGTAATGAATCGTACTTTATCTTTCAGATTCAAGGATTTAGTCCGAAAAAGTTTCCTTCGACGTCACGTATGGTTTAAAATATCATTTCGATTCGAGCCTATACCAAATTGTTTTCTCCCTCAATGAGGGAGCAAAATTTTACGATATTAAAGTTAACAATACTAAAATTAAAAGTAGTCGACGTACTGCGGTGGGTTTGTTTCTGTATGAGCATGAGCTTTTGTTGCCCGACGTCAATTTTGAGCTCTAGCTGTAGCTCATTTTTCGGCTGGACGTACATTGGACACTTGTTACTGTCCTTCTTACAACCGAAACTTATTTAACTGACCACAAAAGTATCTCAGAAATATTATATTAATTTTTTCAAATTTTTATTCGTTTCGTTATTCAAACACGATCATCAGCTTATCACAGGCAAGAATATTTTTCTTATTATAAAATTACATTTTTAGTATATGTATGGGATATATCGTGTCAACTGACTCCTCCCCCCCCCCCCCCCCCCNGGATCAGAGTTGTAATTTGATTTTTCATATTTAATTCTGCTTTCCAAGAGTGAATATGAAAAAATGATTGAAACATGATTTTTTATGTAAAATTTGATGAGGAATTCAAATTTGATGTCAAAAATCACATTCATAAACTCCAAGTACCTTAATTTCTTACTTTCAGCCTCAGTGACAAAAATAAACATGTTCGTATCCAACGATATGGCCAATATTGTAATATGTTCATCGATACACCAAAATACAACTTCTGATAAGTTGTTGTCATCGGCAGACAAACAGACTTCATTATTGACCTTCATATGGGTCAAAAAAACATGGTTTTTCTCTAGATTTCCTCTATTTTTGACTCATATGAAGCTCAATAATAAAGTATGACCAAAATTGATCAGAAGTTGTATTTCGGTGTATCGATGAACATATTACAATATTGGCCATATCGCTGGATACGAACATGATTATTTTTGCCCCTGAGGCTAAAATTTAGAAATTAAGGTACTTGGAGTTAATGAATATGATTTTTGACATCAAATTTGAATTCCTCATCAAATTTTACATAAAAAATCATGTTTCAATCATTTTTTCATATTCACCTTTGGGAAGCAGAATAAAATATGAAAAATCAAAACAAAAAGAAGGAGGGGGGGGGGGGACAGTTGACGCAATATAGCCCATATAAAAATGCGCATAATTATAAGTTGAGGCATTAAAGGATTAATAACCCCTAGCACCTGAAACGTTGGTTAATTTTTCCCCGTTTTTATGCTCTCGGAATTACGCACATATCGCCCGTTCGTGTAAACCAATTGTGCGCCTAAGTGCATGATATTTTCATTACGATCTCGGTATAATGTTAATTACATGTCAGTGGTCGTTGTACAAAACTGTCTACGCTCAGTCGCTATTAATCATTTCCTGCTGTAAGAAGTGTTTACAAATAATATCCGTACACGTTTGTTGGGGAAAATAAGATACGCTGTTGGCTACTCGAGGTATCTAATTTTGAATAATTTCAAGATAAATTATTGTAACGAAGCGATGGAAAGCAGAAAGGATTTAGTTAGGTATACACTTTTTCATACTTGCCAAAGATATATTTTTAAACGATCGTTTCTTTAGTGTTAAAGAGGAGCCTCGTGACGATTGGGAAGATGTAGCCAACGAGAGTGTCGATCCAGGGGTCTCGGTCAAAACCGAAAACTCTGATGAATCATCGGTAACATCTATCTTTTGAAATTATGATCAGATTGGCTCCATAAGAGAACTATAACACAATTTTAATTTTAGGCAAATCCCACCAATGACTGTATTTCGTCGCAGCAGAAGAAAGATGAGGATATTCTGATAGAATGCGAGAGCGTATTGGTAAAACATGAACCTAAGCCCTCATTGACGACCATCTGCCAAGCCACTGTAAAGGAAGAAAATCCAGCAAATGACTCGAGTGGAAAGAAGCCTACAATTTTCATTAAAAAAGAATCCGATTGCGATAATAACCGTCAATTTACAATAGGAGAAGAATCGAGTTTAACAAGACAAATAGAAACGACGAATAAGGACGATGGATCACATGAATTAGAAATTTGCAAAACCGAAAACTCTGATGAATCATCGTCGAATGAGTCATCGGTGAGTCAATTTTTCGAAATTACGTTCGGATTTCCACCATGAAAAAACTATAAACAATTATAAAGACTCGATGTCGTTACAGGATGAAATTTCGATCGAATTGGAGACCGAGAATGTAAAACTTGAACCTAAGCCCTCATTAACGACCATTTGCCAAGCCACTGCAAAGGAAGAAAATCCAGCAAATGACTCGAATGGAAAGAAGCTTACAATTTTAATTAAAAAAGGATTTGATTACGAGAAAAACCGTCAATTTACCACTGGAGAAGAATTGAGTTTAACAAGACAAATAGAAAAAACGAATAAGGACGATGGATCACTTGAATGTAAAATTTGTCATAAATCGTTTAGATACCCAAGTCAACTCAAAATACACGTGAATCAAGTACATGATAAAAACAAACCCTTCCAGTGTGAGATTTGTAATAAATCATTTGGACAAAAAAGTAATCTCAAGAAACACGTAAATTCAGTACATAATCAGAGCAAACCCTTTGAGTGTGAGATTTGTCACAAATCATTTGGACAAAAATGGGAGCTCACCACTCACACGAGTGCAGTACATTTAAGGAGCAAACCCTTTGAGTGTGAGATATGTAATAAATCATTTGCATACAAGAGTGATCTCAACAAACATACAACGACAGTACATGATCCTAGCAAACCCTTTGAGTGTGAGATTTGTCACAAATCATTTGGACGAAAAGATTACCTCACTATACATGTAAATACAGTACATAATCGGAGCAAACCTTTTGAGTGTGAGATTTGTCATAAATCATTTGGATACAAAAATCATCTTAAAGTTCATCTAAATGCCGTCCATGATCGTAGCAAACCCTTTGAGTGTGAGATATGTAATAAATCATTTGGACGAAAATGGGAGCTCACCACTCACACGAGTACAGTACATTTGCGGAGCAAACCCTTTGAGTGTGATATTTGTCACAAATCATTTGGATACAAAATCAGCTTCGAAACGCATATGAGTGCAGTACATATGAGTAGCAAACCTTTCGAGTGTGATATTTGTCACGAATCATTTGGATACCAGAGTGTACTCAAATCTCACGTAAGATCAACTCATGAACGGAGAAAATTTGAATGTAAGACTTGTCACAGGTTATTTAGCGGCAAGAAGTGTCTCGAAAATCACATTAATGCAGTACATATGGAAAGCAAATCTTAGAAATATGAAATTTATTTAAAATTTATGATTAAACGGGTTATACGATATGTAATTTTAGATAAACATTGTCATGAACAATAAAGCTTTTCAAACTGTTATTCATTTGGTCGTCACTGTGAAAATCTTTTATTATTTTTTCAAACACGAACTCAAATATTAATACGGTTTCACGTGTATTTGGTCTTTGAAATACCTTTGTTTTCAAAAAAAGAACTTTCAAACATCCTATATGGCTGAAGTTTTTGCCATGCCCAACTGCTTATCAGAAAATCTGGAATTATTTTGGTGGTTTTGAAATGTTGGTGGTTAACAAAAATCAGCTGTGTAAGAAAAGTTGAACGACGTCTTTATACACATGTAAACATTTTATTGAACATTAATCAATTGAAGTAGTTCCATCTAAGAAGTGTAACTAATGTTGAATTTGAAGGTAAAAAAATTCACAAAAATAATCCAACCAAAACGAAAAGTTATTCGATGCTAACTGAATTCTGATGTCCATGGATAAAATCACTAAAAGTGTAACGTTTAATAACTTTTCGATTTGGTTGATATTTTCGTTTTATTTCAAGATTTTTTAAACGGTTGTTGTGTATTTCTAACAATTTTTAGCAGTGATTTTGCAAGATGAAGTTACATCGTGAAGAAGAAAATTACTATTGGGATCGGGGAAGCAGGTCTAACACAAGATGATCCGAGTTATAACATAGGTCATATACCTTATCGATCTCAGATCCCAATAACCATTATTTTTTAGAAATTTCAGTTTTTTTCGAAGTGTTTAAATTTTGAAAATTGTTTTAATAGCATTCATGAAAAAAAAATTGGAATGATAATTTTTTATAGTGGGAGTACTTTGCTAATGAATTGGTAGGGGTTTTTAAAACATCGAGGACACAATTTTTAATGAAGTATTTAAAACAATAATTTATAGCAATTAAAGAAGAAGCTCATTGGAATTTTTATTAATTTTGTAAAATTTTATTCACCTTTATATTCTGTACTTGTATATAATTATATGCTAGGTATGTGTGCTTTACGAATTAAAATTGTGTTTCCCCCGTGGATTAGAAAGGAAAATAAGGTCTAATGTTTTTTTTTAAATTCACTTCTGGTACTGTTCCGCTGGATTTTTTATCAAATTTATTCCGAGGCGTTGTTTCAAAAGTTAGTCAGAATCACTCTTATATGGTACTATTTGCATGGGACGTGCCCGCCTGCGACAGACACACTGTACGAATCGATAGTTACATAAACACGAAATTAGCGCGCGTATTACGTTTCTTCGACTCGCTTCTCCGTGTGTATAATTCCATTACTCGTTTCTTTCCTCAAATGCGGGGTAAGCTTAACGAGATCAGCGCACAGGTATAGAAGAGAAGAAGCTGCTGAACTGTCGAGCGCAGATCGCGATGTCTTTCTCTCTCTCTCTCTCTCTCTCTCTCTTTTTTTCCTTACCCCCTTTTTGTTTCTTCTTCTTCTTGTACAAGTACAAATGCTGCATCGGACTGTGCGCGCGGAGGCTATATACAGAGGCCTAGTAGCGAGCTTGCGCGTGACTAGCTGGAACATCTTCGACTTTTGCAGATGTTCTTTTTCTTTTTCTACTTCTTCCACTTGGCGTGTATATAAGCGGCTATATACGTGCGCATGATTATCGTTCGTGTGCCGCGACGGGGTCATGCAGGGCTTTGACTTACTTCCAGTTACATATATGTATGTACGTGTTTGCGCGACCCCATGTATACGTGTACACGGCAGCAACACTGCCAACGAATTTTCCATCTACGTTGAAAACTCGCTCGTTCGCTCGCTCGCTAGCTGCACACGTATTATATGTAATGAAAAAGAGAGAGAAAAAGGGGCTGAATGGGATGGATAGATGAGAGCTCGAGGTTACTCGCATCGAAAATAGACGCGCTCAATTAGTGTGTGTGTGCGCGCAAGCTCGCTGCAAGCTCGCGCGCGCGCAAGCTTCGTCTCGCATCTTTGGTTTTATGGACTTTGTCAAGGCTCTCGAACGCGAGTAGCTTGCGAGTGTTTACGTGCATCATATATATATAAAATATAAAATGCACGGGAAAGGCGGCATTTGGCCATCACGAGATCACCGGAGCTTTACGCGCGCGTTGCGTCGCGACCATTATAGCCGTGAGGCAGAGCGAAGACGCCTTTATACATTACTCGTTTTATGCACATATCGCTTCTAAACGCGTTTTTCATTTAATAGGAATGCGAATATATAAGTTTCTCGCGCGGGTGTTTTTCTCCCGTGCGTTGCGCGCGGCCTCGCCAAGCCGTTTTACTACTGCCCACCCCGCAATAGATGCATAGAAAATACTAGAGTTTCCTCTTGGGACGCGTTTCAATTTTCGTCAAGCTCGCTCGCTCGCAGCCGAGTAAAGAGAGCGCAAATGTGTGTGTGCGTGCTTTTTCGAGCATGTGATTGCTGCGACGTTATATATGTGCCTTAGCGAGTTCTGCAGCGAGTATAGAAACCGGTACTCGTTGAAGCGTCCCTCTGAATAAAAGGTTAACCAATTTTCCGATGTAGCGATCGCTCGTGCCCTCTCGAGTCGGTTCATCTCGCTCGAATATCGTCAATCGGTCAAGTGCAAGTCCGCATGTAACAGCCGCGAGTGCAATGTATTCACTCGACTGCTTGATAAATTCTTCGCCTCGGCGATCGGTAAAGAAGAAAATTGCATATCTCATCGTTGTGCAGTGCGAATCTTATCGGCTACAGACATCAACTCGATCGTCTTACAGATATTTCGAGTCCGCATGATATGATATCGATCAAGCTCGTCCATCGGCATACCTATAATCGTTAGCTATGTAAGTTCAGAGCTTATGCTCCTTTTCGATTTCTCATACTTGATTCTGATCAGCGCAGCGTGCAAAATAAGCCGCGCATATCAGCTGATAAATAATACCGCAGTCGCAAGCTCGCTCGCTCGGACCTAGCTCGAAGTAATTAACGATCGACCCCATATAGTATACATCCATATATCGCGCGCACGCGGCGTGCAAATTCATTAGTCGCGCGAGCTATACACCGCAGGCGTGAGATCATCGAGCCAATACTCGTGAATCTCGAGCTTAATTTTAGCTCTGACTATGGCGCGACCGGCTCGTTTTTCCCGATTTTATACGAGGCCGTATACTCGCTTGATAAGCCTATTTACGAGTCAAGGAAGTGATCTCGCGCTCGCGTCTCTCCGATTATATCCTAGTACAGCTGTGCAGTGTGAGCACGTGCTAGGTACACACACACACACACACACACACACACACACACACACACACACACACACACACACACACACACACACACAAGAGCTGTCACCTATAATACAGGAATACGTAGCGCAAAAGGGCGCCTAGTCCACGAGCTTTGCGGCTACAGTATATTTCGCTGCCGGAATTGACTTCTATGTATACGTGTATAATATATACGTGCTATATCAGTGCTGTATACAGACGAGAGAAGCGTATACATTACATAATCAAGCCTTGTAATGGATGTTCGATACACGAGGTCGCGTAATCCTTATCGTGGATTAGCGAGGCACTTTTGGTCTATAGCCGACACACAGACGACGGCGGATCGCTACGAACAAAAAAAGAAGGCGAGCAAGATCGGCCAGAAGAAACGCTGTACATATTATATCGGACGGGCCGTTAAGGCAAAAAGTTCTTGGCGTATACTTACTTACGTTAACACGGTGGGCCCTACTACAACACGCGGAGCTACGCCACAAATAAAGTCGCGGTCCCCGCACACAGCATCTCGTTACGATCGGGGCCGCGACGACGACGACGACGACGACGATTTTTCCCGCGTAAACCTTCTCCCGTATCTATACATACATGTGCACTGACGTTTTACATAGACTACTACTACGACTACGTCGCTAGACTGCCGGCGTTTTTTTTTTTGTGTTTGGTAAGCCTCCGTTGGAAAAGGTTCGTTGACATGTTCTCGGACGCCGCTACGTATGGCACGGTTATATACATAGCAGTGTGCCTTAGCGAATAATATATACACACACGGCTACGCGGAGGTGCATTCTGTGAGGTCAACATATCGCGCGCGCGCCGCCCGAGCACAGCGCACGCTGTGATAGTATAAGTACAGAGAGAGAGAGAGAGAGATCGAGGGTCACGATTTCGCGCCGCGCACAAGAGAGAGAAAAGCGAATCAGGCAGCAAAGTAGAGGCGCGAGATGTCTATCCTATTCGATTGAGTAAGTGAAAAAAAGAGGAGAAAAGGGAAGAAGAAAAGAGAGAGAGAGAGAGAGAGAGAGAGAGAGAGAGAGGCACACTTACACTGCTTCGAGCGTTTTATCGTATATGTGCGTTCGCATTATAGGTCCCTCGTGCCAAGCGTAAGGTAAATTGCCGTGTCGATTCTTAATTGTATTTACGATGCCACACCCTCGATAATATGCGGCCATATCGTATACACATCGGAATATGAATAAACTTGCTGCAGCGGCAGCTGCGTCCGTTATCCAATCGATCGAGAGAGTTCGTTTCTACTTATGCTCATGGCTCAAAGCTACGCATAGACGCTATTGGCGCAAAGCAGCGTATCATCCTTATGGCTTTTGGTCTCGATATTAATTACACTTCGCAATGGGTTGGAGGCGCAATCGTTATTGCCGCGACTACATAAACGTGTATAAAATGTGAAGGCCAAAGTCGAGGGCGTCGCTGCCAACAGACACTGACCTGAACCTGACACGGAATTTCCGAAGGGCGAGAGAGCTGCATTCGCAATTTCACGGATTCGTGTATCCGCACCGATCGAGTTCAGTATTATATAAGGGATTCAAAGAGTTGCCGTCTCTGCTGCTGCTGCTGCTGCTGCTGTGCCACGGAATTTCGATCGCAAGCGCCAAGTCCTTTCTCTCTCTCTCTTCGACAATTGGGCCCCTCTCGCATCGGCAGAGAGCAGGCAAAGCCCTGCATCTTTTTCCTTTCCCTTTTTTGTGGCCGCTCGAAAAAATGACAAAACACTGC